AGAATAGAATAGAATAGAATAGAATAGAATAGAATAGAATAGAATAGCAGAGTTGGAGGGGACCTTGGAGTTCTTCTAGTCAAACCTACTGCTTATGCAGGAAACCCTACACCACTTCAGACAAGTGGTTGTCCAAACTCTTCTTAAAAATGTGCAGTGCTGGAGCATTCACAACTTCTTAGAGGGGAGTCTTTCCAGTGATTAATTGTTCTAACTGTTAGGAAATGTCTCCTTAATTCTATAGGGTGGGATGGGTGTTTAAAAATGTCAGGGGGAGGATAGAAGTTATGAAAAATCCGATACAAAGGGGCATGACTTAGTATAATATCTGTATTTCTCTGCTCTAACAGTTTTAGGGAAGGTGGATTGTACATATATAGCGTTCTCAAAATGCCTTGAGCCTAAATTTCTGCCGATCTTTCTGGTGATGCAAGTTTGATTGCTTTTGAAGAAAAAAAAATGCATTTTTGATTTCAGTGCGTTTCCCCCCTGGATACTAAAATATATAAATGATAAATGGAGATTGACTCAGTCTTTTGCATAAAAAAGATGAAGTAGATTTTGTCTAGATGTGCTAAAACACTATTAAACATGCATAGAAAGTTTAGGTGTTTCTAATGTACCCTAAACTTTAGCTTTCTGAAGAGATCTGGAGAATGGTCAAGGATTGGTCAATGGCTTACTCAGAACTGTAGGTAGACCTTGACTTACAACCATTCATTTAGTGACCATTCAAAGTTACAATGGCACTGAAAAAAGCAACTTGCGACCATTTACACATTTCATCGTTGCAGCATCGCCATGATCACTTGATCAAAATCTGGATACTTGGCAACTGGCATGTACAGTTGCTGTATCCTGGGGTCATGTGATCCCTTTGAAACCTCCTGACAAGAAAAGTCAATGGGGAAGCAGGATTCATTTAACAATTGTATGATTATTTTAGCAACTGAAGTCATTCACTTAATAACTGAGGCAAGAAAGTGTGCAGAACTGGGCAAAATTTACGTAACAACTGTCTTGCTTGTCAATGAAAATGTTCGGCTTAATTGTAGTTGTAAGGCAAAGGACTATCATCTGTATATCTCACTATGAACTACCTATATCTGAATATAACTACTTGAGAGCAAACTTACCTAGAATTCAGTATGTCTGCTTAAATCAGGGGCCTCCAAACTGGGCAACTTTAAGACTTGTGGACTTCAACTCCCTGAATTTTGGGAGTTGAAGTCCACAAGTCTTAAAGTGGCCAAGTTTGGAGACCTCTGACCTTAGACAGACAAAAGGCCATTTTTGAGATATTTTGTAGTGTGTAAGGTGGACCAGGAACATTCTAAGCAGAGGTGGTATTCAGCAGGTTGTGACCAGTTCTGGACAACCGGTAGCAAAAATTTAGAGTAGTTCGGAGAACGACTTCCTCCAGGAGTGGTGAGAGAATGGAGATTTTTACAGAATTGTTCCCCTGCCATGCCCACCAAGTGATGCCACACCCACCAAGCCACGCCCACAGAACCGGTAGTACAAAATTTTTGAATCCCACCATTGATTCTAAGCAATTGAGAAGGCTTTTAATAAATACTGATTTTTCTTTTGCAGAAAAGGGAAAATACTTAGCTCTTGATCTCGGAGGAACAAATTTCAGAGTTTTGCTTGTCAAAATCAGAAGCGGAAGAAACAAATCGGTTCGGATATACAATAAGATATTTGCAATTCCTTTGGAAATTATGCAAGGAACCGGAGAGGAGGTAAAAGCTCCTTCTTAACTATTTATTCCTGGGACTTATATTCTGTTCCAGTCTAACAAGATCCTGAACAATTCTCCTTGCTGATCCACTTGTATTTAAAACACTGGTATTTAAATGCCTTTAATTATTCTTTTTTTTTTTTCCCCTTTCAGTTATTTGATCACATTGTCCAATGCATTGCGGATTTTTTGGAATACATGGGAATAAAAGGTGCCCGGCTTCCTCTTGGTTTTACTTTTTCTTTCCCATGCAGGCAAACAAGTATTGATAAGGTGAGAAGGCTGACATTTTCCACCTTGACTGGCTTCTGCTCTTAATGTGGTTTTAATTGGTGCTCAATCTTGCACAAGAACATGCTTTTTAATAGATTTTGTGCTTCCATTTCTGCTTGGTTATCTCTAGCAGAGTCTTAAAATATCTACAGACCCCTCACATCCTGAACATAAATACTTTCAACTTCTATCCTCAAAACAACATTATAGAGCAAGGCACACCTGAACAACTAGACACAAGGACAGGTTTTTCCCACATGCTACCACTCAGCTAAACAACTAATTCCCACAACATGGTCAAACTATTTACTAAGACTGTATTACTATTATTCTTCTCATCCTTCCTATTGCCAATCTCCTTCCACTTATAATTATAACCTTGTTGCTTGTAACTTTACGATTTATATTGTTTTATTTAGTTGCCTAGTATGATTTTGATTGCTTATTTAGTATCCTATGACTATCACTAAGCGTTGTGTCTTCATGAATGTATTTTTATGTACACTGAGAGCTTATGCACCGAAGATAAATTCCTTGTGTATCCAATCATACTTGGCCAATAAAGAATTCTTTAAAAGAACTTGAGCACCAGCATTAGGAGGGACTGTGTAAAATCAGTGCTGAGCGCATGAAAGTAACAGGCCTTCTTGTTTGATTTTTGTTTGAGTAAGGCATGCTGATGTGGGAACTGCTGACCATGCAACTCCGGGGTCTTCCTGATCAGCCCAAGCATAGCATGGTCATGTCCTGGGAATCAACTTTGTTGTCATGCCCTTGTTAGGGTCAGACTCTGAGGGAGAGGAAGAACAGCTGACAGGGAGTGGAGTTGTGGCTCCAGAGGTTGTGGAGGAGGCTAGAGAAGGGCAGAGGCCAACTGGGCAGTCAGAGGAAGAACCAGGACCATCCCCTCTTCATCCTAGGACATGCAGGGAGGAACGGAGAAGGCAACAACTTGGCTTACGAGAGAGAAAGCGGCCATGATCCCCCTCATTGGTTGCAGCGGGGGAGAATAGTATATAAGAGAGACGATTACAACACAGTGTTGCCAGAAGCAAAGTGTGTGTTATTTTGGGCTGAAGTTATCTTGGTTGGCGTCCTTCCAACAGACTGTGTCTTATTATCTGTGCCTTGAAGTTGGTAATTACTTATCCCGGTCTGTTGTGGAATTTCTTTCACTGGAGTTTGTTTTAGTTTTTTATTTCACCTCTGTCTGCTCATTAAGTTCGGACTATATTGCTTTCTTTTGAAGACTATTTTTGAGTATATTTTATCTCCAACTGAGAATTATTGAACAGTGGGGCCAAGTTGGAGGCATTAAAGGACATTTATTTACGTTTTGGATTTTGTTACATTTGTATTACACTCTGGGTCATCACATTTGTCACCCATATTCTCAGAATACTGCCTTTGCCCATCCCCAAGCCTATCCCTGACTTATGACCCTTTGTTTAGCGTCCATTCGAAGTTACAATAGTGCTGAAAAAAGTGGCCTGTGACTGGTGCTTGCACTTAGGATGGTATCCCTGCAGTCATGGGACCACAATTTGGACGACGTGTCGTCTGGTTAAAAATATTTTGTGCAATACAGTTAATCTTTACAGTCATATTCATTACATAGTATTATTCTCTAGACTTATCTTATTATACTTATTGTACTTAATATCACTGTCTCTTTATCTTTCATCTTAGCTTATTGATTTCTATCAATGAAAAATATCTATTGTCCTCATGGGTGGGATCCTACCGGTTTGGTCCGGTTCTATAGAACCGGTAGCTCCGAAGAGCAGCTCACACTGAACTAGTTCGCTGGGATGAGGTTTTGGTGTGCCGTTTGGCCCTCCCGCCCGCCCGGCCTCTAGGCTGTCCTTTAGTGGCTGCGTTTTCCTCCTCAGCTGCTTTGCGTGGCACAGCTGAGTGCCGCTTGTCAGCTGGAGAAGGTAAATGCTTGCCGGACCCGGTAGCATGCACACGCATGCTGCACGCATTTGATGCGCATGCGCACACTTACCGAACCGGTTGTTATACTGGTCGGATCCCACCCCTGATCGTCCTTCTTAACTAATCCATTAATTATGTCTAGCTGGCATATTTTTTTCTCTAACCATTGATAGGATAGTTCCCATACCTTATAATATTCAGTTTGCTCTCTCTCTTTAATTACAAGTGTTAATCTATGCAACATGAGAGATGCAGCACATGATCCCCATTTGCAATCTTCCTGTGAGGATTCTGATGAGCAGAGCCAGATTCACTTAACGACTGCAGCAAAAAGTGTATAAAACTAGGCACAATTCACCTAATCACTGCACTGCTTCGTGACATCAATTCCAGACCCAGTTATGATCAGGAGTTAAGAACTACTCCTACTCTGGGCTGAGCTTAAAATGATCCTCAACTGTTCCACTTTCAATGTTTTCCTTCTTTCTTCTGACACAATTCCTGTCACAGTCACCTGCTTTAGCCAGGATAGAACAATGGTTGGAAACTGGTCAAGGAGAGATTTAAGCTAGAAATAAGGAGAAATTTTCTGACAGTGAAAGCAATCAACCAATGGAACAGAAGTTGCCTTCGGAAGTTGTGGGAGCTTCATCACTGGAACCTTTCAAGAAGAGACTAGACTGACATCTGTCAGAAATGGTGTAGGGTCTCCTGCTTGGGCAGGGGGGTTGGATTAGATGACCTAAAAGGTCCCTTCCAATTCTTCTCTTCCCTTCCCTTCCATTCCATTCCACTGGCTGGTGGTTACAAGGCTTTGCCCTTCACCGTTGTTTCAGATTTGGCTGCAGGAAAGTCCATTAAACTGGCTGGTGGAGAAGCACCTACAGATAAAAAGCTTGATCATTGCTTTCCAAAAACACTTGCCAGGTCTACGTGGGCTTCTCATAAAAATGGGCTTAGCACTCTTTTGAAAGAATGCTCGATCTAATTTTAAACAGAAGTTTAGTGCTTTTTTTTTTTTTGCTAGAACAGTTTCTAAAACTTGGTCTAATAATTTCTTCTGAGGATCCCAGATTTTGTTCTGTGCAAAAAGTCAATTTCAACCTTGAAAGAGAGGTGGAACAGCATAATCCTCCTGCTCCCTCTTCCAGGAAATCACGGTCTCTGTCAGGAGGTAAATTGTGGACATTATTTAAATCAGGGGTGCACAACTTTAGTAACTTCAAGTCTTGTGGACTTCAACTCCCAGAATTCCCCCGACTAATCATGCTGGCTGGGAAAATCTGTAAGTTGAAGTCTACAGGTTTTAAGGCTGCCCAGGTTGGATGCCCCCATCTTAAACTTTCTTTGGAAATGTAATTTGAAATGAGTCTTTCCTAAACATGTAAAGTCAGTTTTGAATTTGGGTGATCTAACTCTGGTGTCTCCCTTCAGTAAACACTTTTTAATTGTCCTTTTTGGTTGTACTACTTTTCAGGGAGCTCTTGTTGGGTGGACAAAAGGTTTCAAGGCAACCAATTGCGAAGGGGAGGACGTTGTTGACTTGCTAAGGGAAGCGATAAAACGGAGAAATGTAAGTACGGTATCCTGCATCTTTTGAGCTAAACGCCTGCCCCCAGGGTTGAGAAGAAACCCTGACTTACTGCAGTTTTCCTACCGAGTTGGTTTCATTTGGAATTATTAAGATAAATGTAGAAGTCATGGGGTCTTTTGCACTTTGAAAATGATTCAGGGGAAGAAGCTCTTTATGAATTTGCAGGGAACCATAATTTCACTGCAGTTCATTAAAACAGCCCATCTTTGATCAAGACTTTTGCAGGGTGAGAGAAATGAGATAGTTGCTTTTGACAGTGGCCTCATTAAAATGGCTTTGGGGCTCATTTTTCAGCCATGAGTAGAAATCTGAAAAAAGATGGGGGGCTTTAAAATATAGATGCAGGATGACTCTGTGTGTGTGTGTGAGAGAGAGAGAGAGAGAGAGAGAGAGAGACAGACAGACAGAGAGAGAGAGAGAGACAGACAGACAGACCCAGAAAGAGACAGAGAGAGAGAGAGAGAGAGAGAGAGACAGACAGACAGACAGACCCAGAGAGAGAGAGAGAGAGACAGGCAGGCAGACAGACAGACCCAGAGAGAGAGGGAGAGAGAGAGAGAGACAGACAGACAGACCCACAGAGAGAGAGACAGACAGACAGACAGACAGACCCAGAGAGAGAGAGACAGACAGAAACAGAGACAGAGAGAGACAGACAGACAGAGACAGACAGACAGACAGACAGACAGACAGTTTCAACAACCATACAGTGAATTTCTACCCCCTTTTAATGTGTGCTGTGACACATACAAAGAAAGGATGGGGCTTTGTTTGTGTGGCCATGGCTGCCATCTCGGCTTTTTTTGACCTCGTCCTTGTGAATTATCCTGAACAGTTGCTTCACTAGTAGAAGTACTGGTGTGTACACAGCCACCACACATTATATTATTCTCTCATTTAAACAAAAACAAACTTCTTTAATCTGTTTACAGTCCATTATTCTGAAGAAAAAGTAGTTGTGAGGTTCTGGCCAGAATAAACCTTTAAACCCTGGACGCAGGTTTATGGGGGGAAATGCCAGTATAATTTTAAATGAATAAATAGCTAAGCTAAAGGTGGTGCTGCCACCTGCTGGGCATCTGTATGTTAAACTCACTTGACAATTGTAACTTTGACTACCTATATGGAACACCTGTGATTTGAATCAATTTCTTATCGTCCAGCAACATATAAGTGTTAGAGCAAATGGACAATAAACTGAAAGAAAGAGTCACTGTCAATGACTGCTGAGCATTTTTTTAAAAAAATTCTTCCAAACTTTTGACCAAAAAGATAACTTAGAATTGGCAGTCAAGATACTAATATATAACAGGTTGTTGAGAACCCAGCCAACATAATCTAAAAATGCAGATTTCCCTCTCATTATGCAAATGGGTTTATACCAGTTTATTAAGCAATTGATTATTTTAAAATAAAACAGCCCGTCTTCCCACTATTTCCACCCCAAATTCCTGAGAAGTTCTCAGGTAACTGGGTTGCTCGCTTTACTTTGTATCAGAGGTCTCCAAACTCGGCAACTTTAAGACTTGTGGACTTCAACTCCCAGAATTCTCCAGGCATCTGGGAAATTGTAGGAGTTGAAGCCCACACACCACAACTTCCTGTGAAAAATACTGATGTAGAAGGTCTGAAGAGTGGTTAAGCTAAGTTAGGGAGCTCAGGCTAAGAGGAAGCCTGGAGCACTGTCATTCTGCTCAGTCAGAGTGAATTGTGCATTTTTTTTCACCCTTGCTCCATCAAAACCCATTAGCCCTGAATGGAGAGCTTAAGGCTGGAATGTGTATCTCTAGCTCACTTCGCAGTTATAACCACTATGTGTTGAACTGAACTTGTTTTACGTTTATAACTGTCTGGCGAGGTTTTTCAAGGGCTGTTTCGATGTTATGCACACTTTTGTTTACCAGTCGCTAAAGTGAAATAACATAAAGCGCAAGAATGCAAGCGTCCAACCAGTGATTTAAATTATTATTCAAATCCAATCATTCTTAAGTGAAACATTTTTTTTTCAAGTCCACATAACCCTAATGCATGCTGCGTTACAACACTGGCTACCCCTCACTCCACTTCTGTTGCAGGAATTTGATTTGGATATCGTAGCGGTGGTAAATGACACAGTTGGGACAATGATGACATGTGGTTATGAAGATCCATATTGTGAGATTGGACTCATTGCAGGTAAAACGAGAGGAATATACAGCAGACAAAACCCAGCCTTTCATATTGTGTTTTAATACTCCTGAGCAGCAGGAAGACATAGATAATTGGGATAATGCTAATTTTCACTAATGGCCTGCAAAAGAAAATGGTACATGTGTTGATTTGGCTTGATGAGGATTGTATTTTCCCTTTTTTTCTTGACATGTATACATTTAAAAATTGATTTAAGCACTGGGGGATTCTGGGAGCTGAAGTCCATACGTCTTAAAGTAAACAAAGTTGAGAAAGACTTTATTAGAATTTTCTGATCTCGCTGCTGCCATTTTGAGGTTGTCTGGATTTTTTCAGCCCAGTTATGTAACCTGGCTCTTTCTACAGTAACCATGAGAACCATTACTATTTCGTGTTCTGCAGCTATTGTTTTCCATCTCCTTACACTTGAACTTCCGTGGAGAAAAACGTTTTGCTGTTTTAAAGTCTTTTGTTCTTTCTGTCTTTCAGGGACAGGCAGTAACGTGTGCTATATGGAAGAAATGAAACATATAGAAATAATAGAAGGCGACGAAGGCAAAATGTGCATCAACACAGAATGGGGAGGATTTGGTGACAATGGCTGCATGGATAATTTCAGGACAAGATATGATCAAGAGGTGGACTCGGGCTCTCTGAATCCTGGGAAGCAAAAGTAAGGGTAGATGTTTTGATGCCCTCCAAAATTTTCAGATTTTCTCTGGAACTCAGTAGCCTCTGCTGTAGAACAGGCAATGCAAAATATTAAAAATAATCTGTCTTCTCCAGCTGCAAGTCTGGAGTTAGAGCACAAATGAGTTTCAAGGTATCGGAGAGAAAGAAGATAAACACAGTTTTGTTTTTTATTCAAAGACATAATAAAGAAAAAAGGCAGGAAGACTAAAAAGTATGTTGTGAGTTAATATCCTTAAAATGAATATTGCATCAATGCATCTAATGTTGCTTACAGCATTATAAAAACATAACAGATGCAGGGGAATCCGCAGAGTCTGACTGATTAAAAACAGTGTTGCAGGCAGCAACTTGGGTCAACTCTGACTATTTTGCTTCCATTGTGCACATGCCCAAACAAAAATTAGCATCAGCACTAGCACTTCCATGCTATATGGCATATTGCGCAGCAAGGAATCTCCTGTATTTTCGGTTTTGGGCAAGTCCTTCGGCATCTTCCCCTGGTGATGTTTAACATCTTTAAGTCATCTGTGAATGTTCTATTTTAGCACTTAGACTTATATACCACTTCACAGTGCTTTTTACACCCTTCTCTAAGCAATTTTACAGAGTCAGCATATTGGCCCCAACAATCTGGGTCCTCATTTTACCCACCTCGGAGGGATGGAAGGCTGAGTCAACCTTGAGCCAGTGGGACTTGAACCGCTGAACTGCTGGCAATCAGCAGTCAGCGGAAGTGCCTGCAGTACTGCACTCTAACCACTGCGCCACCACGGCTTTTAATTTTGATTGTGTCCTCTTGGTCGTTTGGCATCGGTGGGGGGGATCCATCTTATTGGCATCTTGGGAACAAACGTACTGTGATTGAAATCATTGATTTATGTACATGACTGTCCTCTGATCTACAATGTGGAATATACGTTGTGTTTTGAAATATAATTTTAAAAAATTCTCCAAAAATGCACGTTAGAATAAAATAGTACAGAATCTCTGAGTATAATAATGAACCTTACTGCATTAGAACCTTTCATCATAATTCCATATTTTCTAATGAAAATACAGGTAGTCCTTCCCTTATTATCACGAACGGGATTAGAATTTCTATTGTTAAGCAAGGTAGTTGTTTGCCTGATTTGCGAGCTTTTCTTGCCATATCATGAAACGAATCATGGCCTTATTACATGAATCACAGTATTGTTAAGTGAATCTGTCTTCTTCCATTGACTCTGATTGTCAGAAGCCAGTTGGGAAGGACGACAACGGTAATCACACGACCCAGGACAGTGCAAATGTAAATACAATACATGCAGGTTGCCAAGCGCCTGAATTTTGATTACATGTCCATGGGAATGACATGACAATTGTATGTGTGACAACTGGCCATAAGCCACATTTTTCCAAGCTGTTGTAACTTGGAGTGGTCCTTGTAAATCAAGGACCACCTGTGTGTTAAGCAACACTAGCAAGATTAAAATACTATTATTAAAATATTAAATGTGGCAATAGGTAAGATTAAGTCTCCTTAACCAGTTCTTGGTTTGAGAAGAGTCCTTTGGTGGTTCTCACAGGTTATCAGTTCTACACTGGAGGAAACAAGATTAAGGAAACCTTTATTGTGGCCACTACTTGAAGGCTCATTTATGCATAGCAATAACGAACAATCTGTTTGGTGTTGTTCAAATCCAAATGGCGTTTTTTCCCCCTTTGGTGTTTAATAGATATGAGAAAATGACCAGTGGGATGTATTTGGGTGAAATAGTGAGGCAGATCTTGATAGACCTGACCAAGAGAGGACTCCTGTTCAGAGGCCAGATTTCAGAATCACTAAGAAGACGAGGAATATTTGAAACAAAATACTTGTCTCAGATTGAAAGGTACGATTTGTGTTGTACAAACAGCATTTTCTCTCCATCTCCCGTCTTCTAGTTCTCGACCTCATAGGAGACCACAAGCAGCTGAATGGGATTCATGATTTATTTATATGTGTTTCTTATATAAAAGGCAAAGACTCAGTTATGAGAACCAACCTGGTCTTCTCAGGCACGAAGAATCAAAACTACACATTAAGTTCCGGTGAAACGGATTTCTTGCTCATATCTATACACAAGAATCTAGTCCACCAATGCCCAGCACTAAACTGGCACTAGATAAGTGTTAACGGAATTCAAGAGGGTGGGAACGTAACAACTCGGGGCTGATTCCTCTCTTGACTCCACCCCAGGCTCCGCCTGTCGTTCTCCTACAGGTCTAGCGGTTAAGCTGCTGGAGTAGGAACAGGAAAATATGAGTTTTAATCCTGTCTTAAGTGTAGAAGTCTATGGGGTAGCTTTGGACCAATCACTTTCTTGGCTGTAGGAAGAATATAAAAGGTAAATCTTTCCACAGATGTCCCCTACAAAACTGCATTAACTTGTCCAGGTAGTCATCAGAGGTTGGAGCTGATTTGAATAGGGAGGAAAAGGCTCTGTTAAATTGACTGTGGTTTCTGATGAATATGTATAAGCATTTCCATGAAGCTTTCTTTGATCTTTCTCTCTCTCTCTCTCTCTCCCTCTCCCTCTCCCTAATCCATCTATGAGAGAGAGAGAGAGAGAGAGAGAGAGAGAGAGAGCGCTATATAGATTGCTATATAGATAGTTATATAGATACACACACACACACACACACACACACACACACAGATAGATATGCAGGTCTTGGCGTGTTCGAGTCTTTTCCCGTGTAAGATTGAGAGTACCTTGGCAATGTTTCGACGAGGTCCCACTCGCCATCTTCAGGCTGGTGCTTTCGGTTTCATGCTTGTGCGAGCAAAGCGTGATTGGAGCTGCCGTCTCCCTATATATACTGGTGGGGAGGTTGGCTGTGTTGTCATTTCTTGATTGCTTGATGGACCCGAACACGGCAAGACCTGCATACCTGTATCTGTGAAAATCTATGAAAAAATATATATCCAGTATATATAGAGAGGGAGGGAGAGGGAGAGGGAGAGGGAGAGGGAGAGAGAGAGAGAGAGAGAGAGAGAGAGACTGTTCTGCAAAGGAGTTCAAGTCTGTAGTCCTCCAGATTTTGTTAATTTTCAGTTCCTGGTCATCTTCATCATCAGCCATACTTTCTGTGACTCCTGAGAGCCCCAATTCAGGAATAGCTGGACAAGGAGATGTTTTTTTCTGCTGGGAATGGAAAAAGTCATTTTAAACATTCCAAAAATTTGTATTTCAGGGTGTTGTGACATTAAGCTAAGAGTAGCATGTAGTATTCAAACAAAGTTCATTCTTAACTCATGGAGAACATCTGCCTATGCGATTGTCAGGTGTCAAAAATGTCTTGATGGCACTTGATTAATCATTCTAAATCTTGTTTAAAAAGGAATCATAGTCATGGGTGGGAAGAATATAGTGCCAAGGAACCAACATATCACCAAAATGCTCCTTAAAAAAACAGAAATGCAGCTTTCCAGTTCTTTGTAAGAAGCGCTATTGAGTAATCAAAAGGGTCTGTTCTATTTTGGCTGAGACAGCGATCGCCTCGCCCTGCTTCAAGTGAGGAGAATCTTACAACAACTTGGGCTGGATGGGACTTGTGATGACAGCATCATTGTGAAAGAAGTGTGTGGCTGCGTTTCAAAAAGAGCTGCCCAGCTCTGCGGAGGTGGATTGGCTGCTGTTGTTGAGAAGATACGTGACAACAGGAAACTGGAACACCTCAAAACTACCATCGGAGTGGACGGTACCTTATACAAGCTACACCCACAGTGAGTATTTAAGCATCTCTTTGGTTGTACGGATTTGGCTGGGTTTTTTTTTTTGAGGGTAGCAAAGGACTAAGGAAATATTCTGCTTCGTGATTAGGAATAAAAAGGATCAAAACCTTTTTCACGCTGCAACTCTGAACTGATTTCACATTTTTGCATTAAGATGAGAATAACATTTTTTGTGGCATTCATGTAGAACTTGAAAGGAAATAAGAAATACTTCAAAGAATGAGATGCCCTATTCTTTCCTTTATTTTTTATTTTTTTATTTTTATAACAAAAACAACAAATAAAACCATCTTCCAGTTGTACAGTGTATCGGTTAGGTACATATATCTAGTGCATATAATAATATTGGTATACATTTCTTATTGAGTTTACATTCATATTATATTATAGTTAACATTATATATCCTCTTATATCATTATTACATTGTCATTAAGCTTTTATTTCAATTTCAAACTATCCTTAAAGGCAAATCCCAAATCTTACTAATTTATATTCATATTAAAGCTTATTCAAAACGATCAATTTTAGTGTATCATTATTAATACAATATCCTTTAATTTCTTACTCTGTTTTCTAGCCATCCATAGAATAACTCCCAAATCTTATAGTACTCCTTTTCTTCTTGTTCTCTAATTGCCAACGTTAATCTACTAATTTCTGCACGTTCCATTATTTTCTTAATCACCTCCTCCTCCATTGGAATTTTCTCATTTTTCCCATTTTGAGCAAATACAATTCTAGCTGCAGTTAATACATTAATAATCAAGTATGTTATTTCTTTACTGTAGGTCTCAGGCAAAATCCCCAATAGAAATATCTCATGTCTATGTGTTGTTTTATCATTTTTTCCAACCTTGTGTGTATTTTAGTCCAATATGGACACAGATATTGGACGCTCTTTTCTTTTCAAGGATTCTCCATCTCCCTTCATGCCTCTCTATTCTTCCCTATTTACAGGTAGTCCTCGACTTACGATCCCAATTGAGCCCAACAGGTCTTTTGCTAAGTGAGGTGTTTGTTAAGTGAGCTTTGTCCCGTTTTATGACCTTTCTTGCCACCGTTGTTAAGTGAAGCACTGAAAGTTGTTGTTAGCAACATGGTTGTTAAGTGGATCTGGCTTCCCCATTGACTCTGCTTGTCAGAAGGTCACAAAGGGGGACCACATGACCGCAGGACACTGCAACTGTCATAAATATGAGTCAATTGACAAGCGTTTGAATTTTGATCATGTGACTGGGTTGTAAGTGTGAAAAATGGTCATGTCACTTTTTTCAGTGTTGTTGTAACTTTGAATGGTTACTAAATGAACTGTTTTTCGGGAGATGCAGTGGCTCAATGGCTAAGATGCTGAGCTTGTCGATCAGAATGGTCGGCGGTTCGGCAGTTCGAATCCCTAGTGCTGCGTAACAGAGTGAGCTCCCGTTACTTGTTCCCAGGGGTGGGATTCAAAATTTTTAACAACCAGTTCTGTGGGCGTGGCTTAGGTGGTGGGCGTGGTTTGGTGGTCATGTGACTGGGTGGACATGGCTTGGTAGTCATGTTATTGGCTGGGTGTGGCCAACTCAACATCACTCACATCGAGGTATGCATCTTCTCACTTGGCCTCTCATGACTGTGGGGATGCTGCAACAGTCATAAGTGTGAAAAATGGTTATAAGTCACTTTTTTCAGTGCCATTGTAACTTTGAATGGTCACTCCACACAAGCTAAGTGCCAGCAAAGGAGGGGGAAAAACTCCACAGAAGTTCCAGAGACAGGAAGTCTAGTCCTGCCAAGAATGTAATAAGGGTTAACAGAGGCAGTTTCTGTAAGCAACACCAGAATGTTTCCTTCCTGCCTTCCTTACAGGATTAGGCCAATAATTTCTTCTAACAACCGGTTCTCCGAACTGCTTAGAATGTTAACAACCGGTTCTAGCGAATAGGTGCGAATTGGTAGAATCCCACCCCTGCTTGTCCCAGCTCCTGGCAGCCTAGCAGTTTGAAAGCATGTAAAAAATGCAAGTCGAAAAATAGAGACCATTTTGGTGGGAAGGTAAAAGAGTTCCGTGCGCCTTCGGCATTTAGTCATGCCGGCAACATGACCACAGAGACATCTTAGGACAGCGCTGGTTCTTCAGCTTTGTAATGGAGATGAGCACGGCCCCCTAGAGACGGAAATGACCAGCATGTACGTGCGGGGGGAGCCTTTACCTTAAATGAACTGTTTTAAGTCAAAGATTATTTATACTTATACTAGTGATGCAATGGTGGGATTCAAATTTTTTTACTACCGGTTCTGTGGGTGTGGCTTGGTGGGCATGGCAGGGCAAGGATACTGTAAAATCTCCAGTAATACGTGGTATTTGCCGGTTCTCCGAACTACTCTAAATTTCCGCTACCAGTTCTCCAGAACTGGTCAGAACCTGCTGAATACCACCTCTGTAGTGATCCCCACTGGCATTTAACCATAGTACAAATGGTTTTCTGCTGTGCCCTCATAACACAGTCTTCACTTTGGCTGCAGTCTGTGAGGGCAACAGACTTAAGTTGCCTTTAACTGCACTGGTTTTGAAGACCATCTAATCAACATCATCCCTCCAGTTCAAGTGGACACCTCCAGTTCAAGAAGTGGACACACTAGCGCAGCCTCAAAATGTGAGGATTTCAACTCCCAGAATTCCCCAGCCAGTTTGATGGCTGAGGGATTCTGGGAATTGAAGTTCATACATCTTAAAGCTGCCGAGGCTGAGAAATACTCCCACAGAGATTCCAGGAATACCACTCCATTATTATAGTATAACAGCAGTATATTATAATATAGAGACAGAATCAGGCACAACTATCCACTTTCCAAATTCCCTTTTCTCTTCAAATTCAGATTGTTTCACAGTTTCCATACATAGATCAGTCTTTCTCTTGCTACCTACCTGAAAAAGAGAATTTCCAAATCACTTGTCATGTACTTTTTTTATGAATGGAAAATTTCATAAATGTGTACTCCATCAAAACCATAAAATGGAAATCTTCTGTTATGCCTAAGGTGGTATAAGAATTCTTATCGTTAAAGAAATGCACTATCGCTTCCATTGTTAGAAGGCTATCATGAATATTTTATAAGTGTTCTGCTTCACTAATGCACCTGAAAATAGTCTTAAGAAATTTTCCAGCATCACTTAATCAGCTAAAAAATAAATAATTTATTTATCAAGCTTACAATTTTTTGAAGTTTGCAGTATCCATTGAACATCTATTATATTGTATTATGTGATAATTTTTTACAATAATCTTGTCAAAGTTTGCAAATGCAAATGAATTAATAGAAATGAAATAAAATATAAAAATTAAGGAAAAAGAAAAGTGAAAAGAAATAGAAAAAAGAGAAAAGAAAAATAAGAAATAAAAAAAATAACTCCTCCCTCCCTACAGGCAAGTATAAACAATTTGAATAATTTGACACTTTCTCTAATACTTCAATGAAAAAAGCTTTCCCCATATCTCATCCTGTGTAATAATCAAATTGCAAATGCCAAAGTCTACTGAGAGCTACCAAAAATATTAACATATATACATTTCAGTGAAGAAATGAGGCAAAAGAATTATTTTTTCACTTATAAACAGATATTTAAAGTCTGAACCTTCAGTCCTGGTATTTCATCAACAGTTGTGAGGAATTACAACATATATATTTTAATCCTGAATTTATTATTTTTTTTAAAAAAAAATATTGATCTTTAGTTCTGTCCACTAGAATCTTACAAATTGATTTCTTATCATTTTCTCTTGGTCTACTTTCAAGAATAGCTTTGTAATTCCTCTCTATCTCCTCTCAGAAAGAGTTTCATTGGCTTCACACTTCCTTTTTGTAAATCAAAAAAAAGAAGGCTTTCAATGTCATTCTGCCCTTTTATTATTATTTTTGACCCCTTTGATGATCAAGACATCAATTTGTTTCGTTTCCAAATCCATTTTGGCATCGTTTTCCATTTCGATTTTATGCTCTTAGCATTTTAAAATCCGTTTTCAGATCCACAGCATCTTTTTTCCATTTCACTTTTGCAACTTTTTTAAAAATCAAATCCACATTCAAATCAGACTCTGTTCTATCCGATAAATTCTCTTGTCATTCTACATCCTGGCTTTAGTGTCAAACAATCTTGTAAGCAACTTCTGAGTATATTGTCCCAAATAGCCTTCATTTCTTCTGTAGTCAAATTGCTCCATTGCATTTATGTGACTGTTTTCTTTTAAGAATAATTGTTTTGTTCTCCCTGGTTCCCTCCAGCCAGCCTTCAAGTCCCCTTTTATCTGTTTATTTTCCAATCAACAAAACTTTCTCACGGAAGGAATACTTACAATTCAATTACTGCATACATTCTTTTATACATTTTTAAACACCCCACAGCAAATATTCTTTCTAGTCCAACAAGCCTCTTAGCTTTTGAAAATCCCTATTTCTTTCCCTGCTGGAGAACACTGTTTTATGATCTCTTCACAGGGAGATTCTGTATGGAGCCAACAGGGGTGATCCATGTCCTCTCCTTAGTCCAGAGAGGAATTCCAAGAAGCCGATCCATTCACTGGCTACATTTGTTGACTCCGCAAAAAGCAGAGCTGTGATTTCCAATCATTGCTGCCTGGAAATCTATTACAATATAATTTTAAGTGTACTTTTGATAGAAACAGCATTGTATTATGTAATCCAATATTTTATTTATTTATTTTATTTATTTTTTACTTACAAGATAATAGGTATAGGTAAAAACATAGTTCTGAATACATGGATACATATAAGAAGAATTAAAAAAATATAAAAGAAACAATAAGACAGGGACGGTAGCCACGTTGGTGCACTTATGCACGCCCCCTACAGGCCTCTTAGGAAAGGGGTGAGGTCAAAAGTAGACAGTCTAAGGTTAAAGTTTTTGGGGTTTTGGGAAGAGTCAGGTAGAGTATTCCAGACATTGAGCACTCTGTTGCTGAAGTCGTATTTCCTGCAATCAAGTTTGGTGCGATTAACCTTGAGTTTGTATCTATTATTTGCTCTTGTGTTGTTATGGTTGAAGCTGAAGTATTCCTTGACAGGTAGGACATTGCAATGCATGATTTTATATACTATACTTAGATTGGACCGAAGGCGGCGTAGTTCTAGGTTTTCTAGGTCTAGAATTTTGAGTCTGGTGGCATAAGGTATTCTGCAACAAGTAGAGGAGTTGAGAACTCTTCTTGTGCAATATTTCTGGACTTTCTCAACTGTGTTAATATCAGATACATAATGTGGGTTCCAGACTGATAAACTGTATTCGAGTATTGGTCTAGCAAATGGTTTGTATGCTCTAGTTATTAGTGAAATATTACCAGAGAAAAAGCTACGTAAAATTAGCTTAACAACTCTTAACGCCTTTTTGGCTATGTAGTTACAGTGGGCTGTAGCACTTAGATCATTAGAGATGAGTACTCCAAGATCCTTGACAGAGTTTGGATCATCAACAAGATCTTGACTATTCAGCCTGTATTTTATTTTCTGATTTTTTTTGCCGATATGTAGGACAGAGCATTTATTTGTTGAGATTTGAAGTTGCCATTTGCTTGACCATTCTGATACATAGTCAAGGTCTTTTTGAAGGGTAGCAGTATTGTCTGTGGTGTTGAATAGCTTTACATCATCAGCGAAGAGAATGCAGTTGCTCTTTATATGATCACAGAGGTCATTTATGTAGAGTATGAAAAGAGTTAGTCCTAGAACACTGCCTTGGGGGACACCACTGTTGACAGGTACAGAATTTGATAGGATGCTCCCAATTTTGACCATTTGTTGTCTGTTTGACAGGAATTCTTCTATCCAGTTATGCAGGTGTCCAGAGATACTGTAAGATTTTAGTTTTAGGAGTAGTTTGTCATGTACCACTGAATCAAAGGCTTTATAGAAGTCTGTGTAGATTACGTCTATTGCTTTGCCCTGATCGAGTTGTGTAGTCCATATGTTTTTGCAGTGTAAGGGTTGCAGATTACATGATAGTTTTTTCCTGAAACCAAATTGTTTATTAGAGAGAAGGTTTTGGGTTTCTAAGTGGAGGATGATGGATTAGTTAATAATTGATTCCATGACTTTACAGGAGAGAGACCAAGAGATTGGTCTGTAGTTTTCAACGAGGCTGGGGTCTCCCTTTTTGAAGATGGGGATGACCATGGCTTGTGACCATAGTTTTGGCAAGGAGATGGTCCTGAAAGATTTTTCAAAGATTATGCTTAGAGGTTCTGCTATGGCAGTGGATAGCTTTTTAAAGAAGTAGGCACATATTCTGTGTGGTCCAATAGATAGAGATGGTTTTATATTGCGTAGTGCTTTTTCAACATTGTCTTCTGTAAAATCAATATATATTAGATCATTGTAGTTGTCTGTGGTTCGACTAGGAAATACTGGGCATGATCCATTGCTGTTTACAAATACTGAGCCAAAGAATGTGTTAAAGAAGTTGGCTTTAATAGTGTCGTTGTTGCAGTCCTTACCATTAGGTCCTTTCAGGGGTGGGATGGACCTTGGGTCTTTTAGTTTGTTGTTTACAAAATTGTAGAAAGTGTGGGTAGAATTGGTGCTTAGAAGTTTTTCTTCCTGTTTAATGTGATAATTTGTGCATTCAGTTTTTATCTGGTGGCATAAATTTTTGTATCGGCTTTTGAAGTTGGCAACATGATCAGATTTGTTTTTCTGCCAAAGTGATTTCTTTTTGGATTGAAGCTTCCTTATTGTTATGGGTAATTTATTTTTTCTGGTTTTGGGACTTGTTAATGGTACATATAGTTTGATGACTCTTTTGACTTCAAATAAAAATATATTGTAATGGTCTTCTACAGTATTGCATCCAGAGAATAGAAATTGCCAATCAAGGGATGAGAGATCGTTGTTTTTAAGATCATAGTTGCCTTTTTTGAAGTTATAATTGGAGATTCCGTTGTTGTAATGATCTTTGTGTGGACGTATTTTGAGACAAAAGTCAATCATGTTGTGGTCAGTGTTGGAAAAAGGTTCTTTAATTTGTATTCCATAAATTGAATTCAAACTATTGCAGAAGATGAGATTGAGGCAGTTGTTACGTCTAGTGTTGTTGGTTACTAGTTGTTCTAGTCCCAGATTTGTTACTGCATTGTAGAAAGTTGCATGTGTGGGTTCAGTTGTACATTTGTTAAGGGTCCAGTTAATATGAGGTAGATTGAAGTCACCAAGGAAGATAAAAATGTGTGGGCAGGATGCTGCCCATGTTAGTAGTGTATTTAGCTTGTTTGCATGTTCGATGTCATAATCAGGAGCTCTGTAACATAGTAAGAACTGAAATGTGATATTTAAGGACAGTTCACGGATGATGGTCTCAGGGATAGCAAACTCCTGAGTAACTTGGATGTTTTTTAGATGTAGGGACTTTTTTTATAGAAGATAGCAACACCACCTCCTCTACAGATTTCACGATCTGATTGGTAAACATGATAGTCTCTTACTGTGGTAATGGAGTCGGGGAGAGATGCGTTGAGCCATGTTTCACAGACAAATATAATGTCAAATTTAGTCATATTTAGTAAGAGGAGAAATTCAGGTATTTTATTTACAGGGCTTCTTGCATTTAAGGCTAGTTGTGGTTGGAATAGAGGTAGTTGGGGGCATGCTTGCCTAGTTTTGAGTGATGTTGGATCAGAGATGGGACTTCATATTGGACCTTCTTGGGATGTTCTCTCTGTCTTAGGAGCAAGAAGAGTCAACTAACTTGCCAACAAGAAATATTCACAACCTGGAGATATTAACTGATGGAGGGCAATTGATACAGCCTCAGACAAGTCTGTCTTGGGTTACACGTCGGATGTTAAGTGGGATGTTTCTTCCAGTGAGAGCTAATGTTTCATATTTATTCTGTACCCATTATGAAAATTGGACCAGGATGCCTCCAATGAGCATCTCGCTCTGTGGCACATCATTTGGCCATTGAGACATCATTAGAAGAGGCTTTATATTATTTCAGCGATGGCTGAGCGATATCAAGAGATACTTCAAGTATGAGAGCGGTGACACTGTGGTAGAAGAATTGCTGGGAAAATGTTGACTTGAGTAACCAGATATGGAAGCAAATAATTCAAATTTAAAAGAGCCTTTATATTCTTTTCTATAGTCTTATGATCCCCAAAGCAGAACCAAGAGGGGTGTGTAGTTTGCAAATGTATTAGTTTGGGTACGTATGGCGAGTGTCACTAATAGCTCTTCTCAAAGTAAGGGCATTCTTGTGCATTTCCGTTGTATCAGGGAACAGGAAACATTTTTAGCTAGGGGGTGGGGTGGGGGGGCTTCTTCCTGGCCTGTAATGTTGTAATTTTAATGAAAAGGAAGTTTATATACTGGAAATAGATGAAGAATGTGTATTTGAGTAGCTACATACAACTTTGCAGAAGATCAGAAAGGAACAAAGAAAGAGATGGACACTGTGTTTAATAATTTTCAAACAAGGATTGGCAGAGCAAGAGATAAAGGAGAAGGTTTAAAGCAAGGGTCCCAAAACTTAGCAACTTTAAGACTTGTGGACTTCAACTCCCAGAATTCTCCAGTCAGTTGGCTGGAGAATTCTGGGAATTGAAGTCCAAAGTCTTAAAGTTGCCACGTTTGGAGACCTCTGCTTTAAAGGAATCCTTGTGAGGATCTCACCTCCTCTTTGTATTTGTTAGCAGTGAAGGAGCTTAGAACCAGGCCATCCCAAGTCACATCTTCAACATTCCTAGATCCTTTGCTCTTACAAAGAACTAACAGGAAGACCTCGCTTAACAACTGCCCTGTTTAGCAACTGTTTAAAACTACAAGGGCACTGACAAAGTAACATTATGACCAGTCCATGTGCTTACAACCAGGTGTGGGATTCTACCAGTTTGCACCTATTCTTTAGAACCGGTTATTAACATTCTAAGCAGTTTGGAGAACCGGTTGTTAAAAGAAATTACTGGCCTAATCCTGTAAGGAAGGCAGGAAGGAAACATTCTGGTGTTGCTTACAGAAACTTCCTCTCCGTTAATCCTTATTACATTCTTGGCAGGACTAGACTTCCTGTCTCAGGAACTTCTCTGGAGTTTTTTCCCCCTCCTTTGCTGGTACTTTGGTTGTGTGGAGTGACCGTTCAAAGTTACAATGATACTGAAAAGTGACTCATGACCATTTTTCACACTTACGACTGTTGCAGCATCCCCACAGTCATGAGAAGCCAGGCGAGGAGATGAGTGCCTCGATGTGAGTGATGTTGAGTTGGTCATGCCCAGCCAGTCACATGACCACCAAGCCACGCCCACCAACTAAGCCATGCCCACAGAACTGGTTATTAAAAAATTTGAATCCCACCCCTGCTTACAACCATTGCAATTTCCCCTGTGATCGAGTTTCTGGTGCTTGGCAGCCGATGGGTGGCCATTGACCACCATTTTTGAACTTCACAGCCAACTTCTGACAAGCAGTGAAGAAGAAATTGCAAATCGTGGTCATCTCACTTAATGACTGCCGGTGATTCACTTAACCACAGTGGAAGTGAGGCTGTAAGCCTAACATGGTCACAGGATCTCTTGCTTAACAACTATGTCCCTTAGCAAACAGAATTACCAGCCCCAAATCTGATCATTAAATGATAATTGCCTGCATAATACTATCTTATATTGATGTGAGAGCAAAGTTGGCCCTCTTAACCTGGGCACACACTGTAAAATTTTGCCCTCGGTGGATTGAGAGCATTACAAGACATTCAGAGTATCTTGTGCATTCTCCTCTCTCCAGTCTTTGCAACGTAAACCATTTCTTACATTTGCAATTGGATTGTGCAAAACATCATATCTGTCAAAACCTGCTTGTGTTTCTTCTTTTTGCGTTTAGCTTTTCTAGGATTCTGCAAGAAACTGTGAAGGAGCTGGCACCACAATGTGATGTAACTTTTATGCTGTCTGAAGATGGAAGTGGAAAAGGAGCAGCCTTAATTACAGCCGTGGCCAAACGTATGCACCAAGTTGCTGAAAATTAAATTGATCTCACAGACCTGAGTGGGCAAGAAAGATCAACTGCAACATCAACTGTTGTGGCACCGATCAATCCAAAAGGGTCCATTTTTGCAGTTGATGGTCAGAAAGAACACGGGATACAATTTGTCATGTCAAAACCGATGGGAGAATTTGCCTTATCTGGACACTGTCTCCTAAGCTGCCTGATATACAACACCGTACTTCGTATTTCTTCATTGTGCCTAGCACAATTCAAAATATTAAATGGCCAAGTTCCATAGGTTTGTTTTAAAGAAGTCAGTTTCTTTTGAGTGTATTTATACAACCCCTGTTCTCTGTCCTAATTTAGTAATTTCTTGTTAATGTTAAAATATCATTTGTATTGCATAAATACTTATTGGAGAATAGGTATAATATACCATAGCTATATGTCGAGAGCTGGTGCTGTTTACCTGCTGCAGTATTTTTTTTCACAGAATATGAAGGTTGGAAGGTACCTCCGAGATCACCTAGTCAATCTCACTACTGGGTGGAGGAATCTTACAGCATCTCCAACACATATCCATCCAAGCAAGCAAAAAGGCTAATGTATAAAATGTAATAAATTAATGTTTTCCCCCATAAAAGTTGTCTCTTGGGTGGCACTCATTGTATGTTAAGTTTTCTTGCATTTATTTGATGTTGCTATTAAAATATGAAGTCTATTTGATTTCAATGCATGTTTAATAATGCTGAGAGAGCAGAAAAAGAAATTCCTCATGCATTTTCTTGAAAAAGCAATGCCTGCTGGAGAAAACATTTGTGGCTACACACTGTTCAGTTTGAAGAGCTATTTTTCTAGAGACACTCAAGCAGATTGGTTCTCATGTCCTGTACTTACTTTAAAAAAGCAGCAACCCACAAAAATTAGCATGTTACAGCACCTGAAGTTTGTTTTCTCCAAGGGTTCATTTTAATGCTTCAATTTCATACCCTGCTCCTTAATCTGTCCTTCCCTAAACTCAGAATTGGTTGAGATTGCACTCAGAGAAATTATAATGATTCTAGGTGTGAAAATGTTAGAAATCACCTTAGTCCAGCCCTCCCATTTTCCAGCCATCAGTAGTATGTTCCTAGTTAGGGTTTTGAGGGATTCAGGGGCCTTTGCACAGCAGGTTGGGACCATGGTTCTCAACCTTACCAACTTTCACAACTCAGAGGTGGTATTCAGTAGGTTCTGACCAGTTCTGGAAAACCGGTAGCGGAAATTTTGAGTAGTTCGGAGAACCGGCAAATGACACCTCTGACTGGCCCTGCCCCATCTATTCTCTGCCTCCCGAGTCCCAGCTGATCGGCTGGGTCTTCTTTGGTTGCCCTGCATAGGAGAACGGAGCTGGAAAGCAGGTTAGTGGGGTAGGGAGGGAATGGGATTTTGCAGTAACCTTTCACCTGGAAAGGGGTGGGAATGGGGATTTTACAGTGTCCTTCCCTTGCCACACCTACCAAGCCACGCCCACAGAACTGCTAGTAAAAATTTTTGAATCCCACTATTGCTTCAACTTCCAGAATTCCCCAGCCAGCCATTCTGGCTGGGGAATTCTGGGAACTGAAGTCCACACATCTTAAAGTCTGCTCCTTTCTCCAAGAATCCCATTATGCAAAGATAATGCAATGTCTTCTGAACAACACTGATCTACCTACTTCTGCACATAGACGAAAAAAAAAAAAAGTAAAAATGCCTTGTTCTTATTCCTGTTGTTTTATCCAAGAAAGTAACTATGGAATATTTCATATCAGAAAGTCTAAAGGGGGAGAATTATGACAGTTAAGAGTTAATAGAAGCCAGTGATTTTCTGCAGAATTTTATCATTCATTTATTTGGCGATTTGAATCTCACCAGGCTCAAAGTTGCCTCAACCTTCTATCCTTCCGAGGTGAGTATGTCACGCTAGCGCAGGGGCCTCCAACCCTGGCCACTTTAACCCTGGAGGACTTCAACTCCCAGAATTCCCCAGCCAGCTTTGCTGGCTGGGAAATTCTGGGAGTTGAAGTCCTCCAGGGTTAAAGTGGCCAGGGTTGGAGGCCCCTGCGCTAGCCTATCGAAGAGAAAGATTGGGGATGACATGAATGTCTTCCAGTATTTGAAGGTGTGGAAAGGGAACTTCATGAGGACAGTGGTGATACCCAAGCAGGAAAAGCCCAAAGGGAACATCAGGCCAGCCATAAAACAAACTTGCATAGGAAAAGAGATTTGATAAAAGGTATTGAAAGAAGCCCCCTAGACAAAAGCCAAGTAATTAAGAAAGCTAGGGAAACAAGAAAAAGAAATCCCTTACAAACAAAAGGTCATGCCAAATCAGCAAAACAAATAGACAAAAGACACGAAATAAATTCCATAGCAGACAGGAGATTGCCACCAAACAAATATAAGAAAACATTAGGATGAAACTGATAATCCAATCAAACCACCCTGCAGAGTTTACCCTCTGGCGGAAATGAAGACAACCCCCTGACAGGATTTAAAACATTAAGAAATACAAACACAAGCACTCACACACAAAAGGAGAAAAGGTATAAAAATCAGGAGTTTATTATACAAAGATGGCTAGCCCCAGGAACGCAGACTTCTTGCTATCTCTTGCCTTCCTGAAAATTAAAGGAACCCGCTTCCAAGCAGTTGTCTCTGTCTATGTCCTTGCACTGGAGCCCTCCCAGCAGGAAAATCGAATCCTCAAAAGAAAGGCATTTTCCAGCCTTTCAACAAAGGATTGTCACAGAGAAATCGGAGTCAATTTATTCTCTAAAGCAAGAAGGCAAGACAAGCAATGGATGGAAGCTCATTAAAGGTAACCTGGAACTAAGAAGAAATTTCCCGAAAGAACAATTAATCCTCTTGCTTCCAGAAGCTGTGAGCAAACCATTGCTGGAGGTTTGTTAAGAAAAGATTGGACAGCCATTCATCCAGGATGGAATAAATTCTCCTGCATTGGGTAGGGGGTTGGACCAAGACCTCCAGCTCTATGATTCTATAAAATAAGAATACACTGGACAAAAAATAAATAATATAACAGAGGCACTTTATCTGCTGATGCTTAAGCACAGAGCACAGATGTCATGGCAATATCTTTCTTTCTGCAATGTCCCACAACTTTGTCCTCATCTCATCCCTACTCATTCTTTCTCGAACTGTTCACTGGTTGTTATGAAGTTGGGTTAAAGGATTGTGGATTTGGGGTTTTCATGAGTTGTAAGCCATAATCATCACAATTATGACAAATCACGGCTTGAACTATCTTGCTTTGCATGTAATGAGTATCTCATAAATTACTTTCACCTTTTAAGTTGCATTACTGAAATAAATAAACTTTTGCATGATATTCTAATTTTTCAAGTTACACCTGTATAGCTTTAAGCACAGTAGTGTAAAAAGTATAAAAAATATTGCACTTGTTGCTTTCCCAGTTGGCCGTTTGCCACCTCACTTTTCCAAGGAACTCATTCTCTAACAATATTATCTCCTTACATTTAAAAAAAATATTTCTATAATCTGTTCTTCAAGGGATTTCGATATCACTTTTTCACCTGCCAAACCTTTGTGTCTTTTTCAAGTTATTCTTCAATATATATTTTTTATCTTAATAGAAACATTCATGTGGCATTTCTGCCTAGACCTCTAGAGGGCGAAGACAGTTTACACATGGAAAGATATTTTCTGCGGACTGCCTGGGGTGGGATTTTGCATGCTGCCTGCATTCCAGGGATAGGGCTTCGCTTGTTTGAACAGCCCAGTTTCTGGCATGCTTTGCACCAGTGCTGGTCTGTGGACTGGGAATTGGGGATCCCCTGGTTTAGGATACTTTTGCAAGTGATCAATTAATACCATTTTCACCGAATTTACCTTATCGAGAAAAGCAATAGCCAGAATATATATATGTGGTCTCCTGCTCTCTTCATTACACTAGAAGTTGTTGGTTACTTTTTACCGTTCTACCATCAAGAGCATTTTGGCATACTGTGTAACGGTGTGGTATGCTGGATGCTCTGTAGTGGATAAGAAGATGCTCCAGAGAGTTATAAACACAGCACAAAAAAATCATCAGTTGCTGTCTTTCTGCTTTGGAAGAGATTGCAAAGACCAGACTCCTCTCTAGAACACTAAAAATCTCCACAGACCGTTCTCATCCTGGTCATTCATATTTCGAACTGATACCATCAGGGAGGAGTTATAGGTGTCTTAAAATGAGGACTAATAGATTGAGAAACAGTTTCTTTTCCAAGGCAGTATTTGTCTTGAATCAAACAGTATATTTGTGATTTATTATTATTATTATTATTATTATTATTATTATTATTATTATTATTATTATTA